ATTTTCTCAAGTGAAGGAGTAAAGACCCCAGGAGGGACATGAGATTTTTATGTTATCTCACAGGAGCTTAGATTTTAAAGGCTGGGAAACAATAACTTGGCATAAATTATTCTTCTGTTCTGAGGTCCTCTGCTCACTCTGAAGTTGCAGAGTCAACAAAACCCGAGGGCTCTATTAAGCAGGGGAGGTTATTATCCACTTGGATAATAACCATTTCTGAGGCGCGTGTGGAAATGGCCACACAACTCAACCAGGCATCTGTATTTGGTAGGAGCGTTTGTTATTTGCCTCCTCCAGCCCTAGACATAGTATGGAGTTCAGGGTCTTGTCATATTTGGATCTGGACATGGCCACTTGCCTCTCTCCTCCAGTCCAACTGGAGCATAAACTCTTGCAAACCTTCTTCCAGGGGACTTTCTCTTCTTACCCTGCCATTTAGTCACTAAAGGATAATCCACTCCATATTTGGTTTTACCTACAACTGTAATTGGGATAGCCCTTTCCAATTTAGGAAGTGCTACTACATACATAGTTTTAAAAAGAAATTAAAGAAAAAGAAAAGATCAGCAGTTAACTTGAGAACTGTACAGTGCAAAGTTGCCCCAGTGGGGAGGAATCTGAATGTCCCCAAGACTTCTCAACCTAAATACCAGTCTATGGGAAAGATACAAAATAGAGTAATATACCAAATGATACTGGAGAGACTCCATCAGTTAAATGGTAGAAAATTTACAAGACAACTCATGTGGGTCACTTAACAATTGGCATGGAAGAAGGGGTGGGTGATGTGTTATAGATGAAGAGACTTAGTGACAAGTCAATCAAGGGCGATGTATGGATCTTTCTTGGTTCCCAATTTAAAAAAAAATTCATTGCCAAAAGACATTTTTCAGACAACTTGGGAAATTTGAAATGATAGTAAGGAATTTTTAGTTAATCTTAAATTTATTTAAAAATGATTAATATTTTGGGGGGCCTCCCTGGTGGCGCAGGGGTTAAGACACAACCTATGAAGCTATCCATAATCACTGCAGCACGAGTTTGATCCCAACCAGGGAGCTACCCACATGGTGCAGCAGGCCTCTCCTGACTTGCCCACTGCTGCCCTCCATAGTGTATTTCAGTCAGTCTGCTTGTTCTGTTCCCCACTCTGTCTCTGGTGAATCCTCTCAACCCCCACACCTCTGGCCCATACCCCACTTCTTGTATTCATAAATAAATACATCTTTTAAAAATGATTAATTTTTATAAAATGGGTATTCTAGTTATGTTAAGGAAATTTGAAGTTTATAGCTATATATTGAAGTATAAATGGGAGAAACAGTATTATGGCTAGGATTTGGTTTAAAATATTCTAACAAAAACAAAGCCAAAACAGGGAGTGTGTATTTGTATATACACTGATAAAATGCAATTAGCAAAATCTGACAATTGTTTGACTGACAAATACCTAGAGGTTCCAGTTTACTAATTCTCTGCTGCTATAAATATTTGATCATTTTTTAAAATGTATGATAAAAATAAACTTTTTCTTAATTTTAAAAATAAAGAGAACAGGATGGAGTTGACAACAGTGTTGGATTCTGCAGGGGGACAGAGCAAATGAGTAAAATTTCCCATATTCATTTAGTGATTGGAGGTTGTTAGAAATATTGGTGAGAGCTGCTCTGAGGTCGCATGGGAATAAAAGGGCATTCAGGGTTGAGAGCCGTTTTTTCCCAATAGGAGAGACTTAGAGTTTTAAAAGCTGATGCAATGAGAGGTTGAAATTACTGAAGAGAGAAAATGTAAGCAATAGGGTAGAGTTCCCAACAAATGGAGAGGGTGGGATTCAAGGTGCAGGAGCAGCACTGACATTGGACAGTGGAAAAAGGATAGAAAGGATGAAGTAGTATATAGTTCATATGTTTGGATCAGAAGAAGTGGGATTGGTTTTCCAATGACCTCTGATTCCTGTACAAAGTAGAAGAGTTCTGGATAAGAGACACATTAAAAAAAGTCACATAGAATTTTAAAATCTTGTCGATAAGTGGTATTTAGTTCCACCAGACTGTCCCAGGAGCACTCAGTTGTTAGGGTTCTGGCCTAGAGATCTCGGTGCATCCTGGTTGAGGTTTTGCCTGACAGGATGAAAAGGATATAAGACAGGGAATTGAGGGCATTAATAAGAGTAACTATGGATGTACTGAGCAGCTTTAGCTGGGTATAAAAGGATACCTTGTGAAAAGTTGAATAGTTTTTAAGAAAGAAGAGGGTCATGGATCCCAATTAAAAGATCTGAAGATGTTACTTGGTGAGTATGAAGGGCAGTCCATTGTGGTGGAGGAAGGAGATACTAATCATCAACTTTGGAAGTAGCATTTCTGGGAGATATGACAAAGTGTTGATGTCATTTTGTTGAGTGTTGCATTCAGTGAGTGGGATCCTTGGATGGCCTCTGAGAAAAGTTTTGGTTGAATTCCCCTTTCAGTTGGTCACAGGGATTTTATTGAGAAGACTAAGATATTTGCAGGTTATATTGTAAAGGGACAAGTTCATTAGGAAAAGGAGATAGGAAAAGAGAGGGACCTGCATAGTCACAGTCGGGCTACAGAGCTGCGTTTGCCAGTGCAGAAATTGTCCTGATACACTGTTCTTTTGGGGAGGGATTCATTCCTTTGTGGAATTGTTATCTATTGTTAAGTTAATCACTTTTAGGGTGTGACAAGGTTGATTTACAGGACTTGGGATTTTCTGGCTCTCAATCTGCATAACCCCACCTCTGGTCTGTGCTTCCAGATACCTTCCATAGCAGTGTGCTCTTAAGGATTTTCATTTTTATTGTTGGTTTAACAACTATATTAATCATTTTTACCCCCACCTCCAGGTTCTGGTCTTAGCCTCTATCAGCATGAATGTCGCAGCAGGGAGTGGAGGAGGCCAAAGGCTAGCTCAATTGGCAGTCACTTTGCAGCATTAACAGGAGTTCATCCAAGAAGCAAAATTTCTTTGCCCCATCAATTGCAGACCCCAAATACTATGCTGTGATAAAGCAAGACCCTCAGAGGAAAAGGAAATTGTTCTTTTTAGCACTTTTGGAGGCAATAATACCCACGACAATAGTGTTGTCACCTTGAACAGTTGGCATCCCTTTCCCCAAAGAACACCTGCACTATTTTTCCTCCTTGCACATGAGAAAGGGGTGGGTAGACATTTAGATGTCCCATTAAGAACAATAGGAATGAAAGTCAATATTTATTTAAAATAGGGATCCTAGAAGTTAATTGTCTCTCAATTTGCCTTTGAGGCTTAGAAAGAGGCAGCCAAGAGACCCCATGGACCAGGAGGCAGGCCAGGACTCCTGGGGCCCAAGGTGGCCCCATAACTCTTCCTCCAGGTCTGGGAATGTCTGCCGAGAGGAAGAAAGCTCAGGACAGCTGCTCTCACAGGAGGTCTCCTTCCCTGGGCCATGGTGCGGACTTCTTACTAGGGTGCCAGTGCAGATGCCAAGGAGTGCTGGGCCTGGGGCAGTCACTCTATAGGGCTTGACCCTCCCCTGGGGTAGCTCATGGCCACTCTGTAGCTGACCTTAGACGATGGCTACTATGCCTACCAGGGAGGTGGGACACAAGTGGGAGGATGCAAAGTGTGTCTCCTTGTCTTTCCTGCTTGCACCCAACTTTGTGCTCCAGCCAATCTCTGTCCCCCAAGCATCCAATAGCAAAGCGTCTCCACACTTTGTTCTCGGATTGCTGCCATCACTTGACTCTGTGCACATCCTTAGGTTTTTGAGGTTCAGTTGGCAGCAAGGGACCAGGGAGAATCAAAAAACCCTCTGCAGAGTGCCTGCCATCATTTCTTTTGAACATTATTTATAGTGCAGGGTTCTATCTCTGAGCCCAGAGAGAGAAAACTGAGCAAATAAAGGGTTCAACTTTCATTTTCACTGGATAAAGACAACTGAATTAGAAGAAATTGAAGCCAAAGAAAAGGCAAAACACAGTTGACACATTTAAATATTACAGTATTATTAATGCAAACACAAAAGGTTTGTTAAGTGCTTTATAAATGAAATGCTTCCTTCAGGATAAATACAAATTTTCAAGGGGTCCTTCAAGGTGAAAGGGGATGAGTAATTCTCCGGGGCTATGGAACTTCTAAAAGATGGAGTGATCATCCTCATTGCTAGCTGACATTCACATCACAGATAAGCTCCAAATTCTTTTTCTCATACACACTCTGGAGACCAAGGAACACCTTGGAAATATTAACACACTCATTCATTTTCATTATTAATAGATAGACAGATCAACCCACAGGGTTATAATCTATTAGCAATCATGAGCTATATCCATAATTTGTCTTAGCAAGAGTTCACAACATAATAAATATTCCTTAAATCATTTTAGAACAATGATTACCCTGGAATCCTCTAACTTTACTCTCAACACTGAACCCGCAGAGACTCACTTGCTCCTGATGAGTTTATACTGCCTTGCTTTTGCACCACTACTCGCTCAGGGAAATGCCAACGCAGTTCTATTTTGTCTATGATATCCAAATTCTTAGAGATCAGAGCACTATACTCTGTCCCAGGGCTCAGCCAGTTTTTAGGGCACATATAAAAGTTTGTAGTGAGAAAACATTCTATACATAAAAAAACAAGTATACTTTGCTATGTCATTTACAAGGGCCAAGTAGGGCTTGGACACTGACTGGAAGGAGATTATTTTTTCGCTGTCCCCATTACGTGGATCCATCATGGCAGTATCTGGGATGAGCATGGTTTTAGGATCTGGGCAGTGTTAGGTCCCATGAAGTCTTGGCTACAGAAGGTGGATCTGAAAAAATTAAAGGGGGGAGGAACATTAATACGATTCCAAGGGTGAGGACAGAAGACATTGGTCTTCAAATTTCATGAGCAATTCTTATTTTGTAAACACTTTTGCAAATATAGAATTGATTTTTTAATCATTCCTTTAATTACAGAATTTCAAGGCATACACATTTTCACATTAGTTGAGAATTTCAAACTAGACATGTTTTTTAAATGCCATGCACAAAATTTAAACTTTATGTGAACATGCATGTGAAAAAGCAAGACTTACTTATATCCATATATTCCAGATTTATCTATCACCATTTCTGCTCCCAACTTATTCTGAGAATGTCCAAAGGAATGTTCCTTCCAAATGAACGTTATACTTGTAACGTTTCCGACATTAACATCTGCATCAATTAATTTTGTGTAAGTCATTCCTGGCTCAAGTGTTCCACTGCAAGCAGAAAAAATCAGACTCAGAAGCTTTCACTGGTTACTTGCAAAGCTAAAGTGGGATACTGTCTTCGCGTGGGTCATGGGAAGGAAGAGCACTTGCTGATGGGGGTTATTTTTTCCATTCTCATTATCACCCATCAGTATTGCACAGTTCTGGAGCTTAGAAGTGTGAGGTCAGTAGGAAGTCTGATGAGTTGATTTTTAGAAGTGCTTATCTTGATGAATTTTCTATAACGAAAGATCTGGTCTTGGCTTTGTAGTGTCAGAAACCAGATTTTATCGACACCAGAAATGATCAAACTGGCAAAGACAGATTAAATTCATACAAAACTGATCTGTAAACCAGAAGTCTGTTTAGCAGCTGTCAGTAGCAAAATGCTTCCCTTTTATTAAGTAAACATTCTACACATCTTTATCTGTATAGAAATCATAGTAAATTAAAACAGCGCTCAAGAGATGTATTGGTGAACATTGCAAGAGACCAGAGAGAAGTGGATTATTTTGAAACAGAAGGAAATTTTATCTGAACCAAAATTAGACCAGATGAGACTTCTCGATTTCTATTATTTTCTTTTTCCTTTCTTAATTTATCATCTCTTTCTTCTAACTGGACGGGAAGCTCCACGAAAGTAAGGCCCTTGTCTGTATCCCATCATGAGAACAACGCCTGGTATCAAAGACATTTAGGTGTTTTGACTGAAGTTGGGGACGAAGCCAGCACATACTCATTTAACTGACTTCATCCAAGACATCTTCAGGCTACTGTGAATCAAAATGCTTAATTCTCCTGAAAAGGATCGGGTAACTACACAACAGCATTTCAAACAGCAAAGGAAGCAGATATGTTGCAGCATTCTCACCAATGTGAAAGGATAGGAACGTCACATCTGTCCCCACCTGTCCCAGCCACAGCCATTGTGTGCAGGACACAAGCTGCACAGCCTCAGGCAAAGTCAGAGAGACAGACTGCGGCCCTGTGTATTGAATATTTTCAGAGGAACTGCTTACTGGAGAGCAGCAGAAGTGAGATGTGCTCAGACAGGGTGTTTGGAATAGGGAACAGCATGGGTGAAGTCAGGAAGGGGGCGCCCTCAGGGTATCTGCTGAGCTGGAGATGAACAAAGCCAACATGGAAGACACGCCAGAAAGGAGCCAGGGGATCAACCAGGACCTGCCACGGCCTGAGCTCATGTTTACAAGCAGCTCCATTAGGGCCACAGGGTGTGTCCAAACTCTACCAGGGGGATTGAGGCAACCAACAAGACAACCACCAAATCACTGCTTCTTGTGCCTTTACCCAGTATTTAAAGATATGAACATCACAGAAGCAGAACATCGAACCCATTCATCAGTTCGTAAAAAGGTCACAGCTAATTTGTGTGAATGATGTTAATTCTGAAATGCATTATAGAATGAAATCACAAAAGTGAAATATGCAATGCAAAACTGCTAAGGCTGATCAAAGAAAATATTAAGGACAACTCAAGATAAAGGGGGAATTTAGCACAAGATGCAGAGTGAACGGCTCTTGTGAATTATTCCTATTGTTGACTATTTTAATAGATGGCTTATGTCTGTGGGTACTACTATGGCAGCTTATTAGAAATTTGGCAACTGATATGAATGTCTTCTTTCATAAATCATTTGTGATCTATACAAATAAAACATATGCTCACACTTTTATAACCTTAAATGGATTGGATGAAATATATCTTTTTTATGTCAATTTTTTCCTCTCTCTCTCTTTTTTTATCTAGATCTACAGTTTCATGTCATCATGTCCTAACATTTTCTGTTTGTAGCAGAATTTGTAGAGAAAATAGAGATTATGCCTTCTTCTTCATATCTGGAATATGTGACTTAAACAGGAAAGTCACATGTCACATGATAGCCTGTGGCACTGTGGGAAAGGCAAAGACAGCTGGGTAACTACTAACCACATGCCCAGCGCCAGGGGATCTGTGTCCCTTCTTGCCTACCTGGTGATGGCAAACTCTCCTGTTTTCCCAGTTGTTCCACCTACAAGGAGAAATAAGCTGCCTTCGGTGACATTGTTTCCACTGAGTTTGACAGACAGTCTATGTCTCCAACCTGGAGATAAGGAAGAAACGAGAGAAAAATGAAGGCTTAAAGAAAACATGTAAAAAGCATGATGTCCTGGGCATTTCAACATAGGCGCAAGTTTTAGTTAATGCAGATCAGGGTGATACATGTACATGACAAAATACAGCTGGTGCTTCGTGGCTCAAGTCCCTTTGGCCCCTGTCTCATCTGATCTTTGTCATATATGGTGTCAAAATGGCATCCTCCTTCTTCACTGTCTTTCTTTTCTTGACTCTGAACTGCCACCCCAGCCAATTTTCCTTCCGTCTCTGCCCAGTCCTACCTATCTCTTTTAGAGGAACCTCTTTCTCTGCCCTCCCTTCCCACATTTTTTAAAATTTTTATTTTATATATTTTTTACATCATTTTTCACTTTCTTCGCTTCCCACTGGATGTCCTTTCCTTGAGTAATTACACCCCCATGTTCACGGCTTTGACTGCTGTCTAAGAGCAGGTGATTCTCAGGTCTGTCTAGCCCATCCTGGTCTCCAGAGGCTGAGACCCGCTGCACAGCCCCAAATCCTAAAGGCCTCGCAACCCCAACATGCTAGAAACTGAGCTCCCAGCCCTCTCACTCAGCATCTCTTCCTGTGTCACCAAGTTCAACGACGCACCACCCAGCCAAAAGCACCCTCGACATCCCTCAATCCTTTCTTCACATTGCTTCTTGCTTCTCCCTCTCACCCATCTGTCATCTCTCTGCTTCAGCCTGGACAGTTGCAGCAATTCTTTTGCTTTCCTCCCTGCTCCGTTGAGATGTCGTGTACATGTAATACCATGTGCTGAAAGCACGCGTCATGACTTGATATGCACATATATGAAGTGATCACCACAATAAGGTGAGTTAGCACATCCATCAGCCCACACAGTGGAGAGGCCACAACTGTTCTAACAGGCCCTTCTGCCTTGTTTTGTCCCCTCCAATCCCTGCAGCAACAGGAGTGATTTTTCTTTTTAAAAAATCAGATAATTTTATTACCCTGCAATGGCTTTCCTTTAGCTCAGAAGAGCCCAGGCTCCCCACATGGTGCACAGTTTCATTATTGAACCCAATTTGTCTTGCCCGCCTCATGCTATTCCCCTTGGGGTCTCCACACTGCTGGCTGGGCAGCTCCTGCCTGAAGATCCTATTTCCCTTCCCTTTCATTCATTGTTCAGGAGTCCCCTTAGGCATCTCTTTTCCTCAGAGACTCCCCTGGCCTGGTCGTAGAAGTTTCTCCTCTGAGCCTCTCCTAACAGAAAGTTTGGAACACAGGATGGAAGCTGAGGCTTTTGTTTTTGCTGCCATTCCCAGGAGCCTGAGCACACTGTATCATCTTCCACTGCAACCTCAGAGCCTGGCCTGGTGCCCAGTCATTTAGTAGAGACTCAGTAAAAACTGTTCAATTTTTAAAGATAAGTACTTAAAGCATTACAATAAAACCGAGCTACAATACTTACGGGCAAATGGGGAAAAAGTCCCTGTGTTTAAAAAATAATATGATCTATTAGGTTTCATATTTTTGAGCTGAAATCTATCAGCAAAATGACCCATCGTTGGGCAACCTTCTTTGGGACAATGGAAGCAAGTTCCCTGGTGACAAAAAAATAAGAGGTAATTAGAAATGTAATTAGAAAGGTTGACCTTCGGTAAACTTATGCGCTGCATATTATTAAACTATAAAATCTTTCAAATCTAAATACAGCATGTACATTTAAAAACAACTAGGTTGCCTATCAGGCCACCCTCCCTGCTTTCAAAATAAAGGAAAGCAAAATAAAAACTACCGAGGGAAAGGATAAAGCAGACTAATAGGAAGTGGGCCAATGATACGAATAGATAATCCACAGAAGAGAGCAGAAGAGAAAATGCACATAGTCAATGACTACGATTGGGAAAGACACTTGTCTTACGTGTTAAGTTGTGAGAGATGTGCGAATTAAAACAAAGTACAATTTCATCCTCAGATTTGCAAGACTTAAAATGATCGGCAATAGAAGCACTGATGAAGACATGGGACAGAGCATTCTGGCTTGCTTCTGAGGAGAATGCAAATTGACAGGCATTGCAGATAGCAATTCAGTAATGTCTAATAAAGACAGAAATGCACATATGCTTCAATGACTTCACTTCTATTACGTGCCATAAAGAAATTTCCTCGGAAGTTCGTAAGAAGGCATGCAGAGGTGTTTATGGCAGAATTGCTTTTGATAACAAGAATTAGAAATAGCCAAAACGTGCATTAGTAGAAGCATGAGCGAATCAACAGTGGCTGATTCCTACAAAATAAATACAAGAGACGTATTTTCATCAAAGCAGATCTCAAATTTACAAAAGTCAATGAAAAAAGCAAATCCTGAAAAGTACTAACAGAATGACGTCATTCTTACCTATATATGAGATTCACTTCAAACTTTGCTTTGGGGGGTGTGTGTGAAAGGAATATTAGGAACTGCAAGTTTATGTGTCTGTTTTAAAATCTACAGCAAAGCTAACAAAATGTTAACATAACAAAAACTGGGTCACAGTGTTTTGAGTATTTGCTTCTTTAGGTTTTGAACCTTTAGATTTATAAACCATGGATATTTAAGCTGGGATTATAATAAAACATTTTAAACTCCCATTGTTTTTTTTTTTTTTTTTTTTTTGGTGGGACACTCGCCGGTGGCCGGGGATCGAACTGGCGCTGCAGAGGCTGCAGGCAGCCTCGCAACCCAGAGCTCAACCACTGTGCCACCAGCGGAGGCCCAACTCCCATTTTTAAAGAAGAAAAATTCTAACAACAACAACAATAATAATAGGTCATATTATTGAGAGCATAGCCTGTACCGCCACTGTTCTGATCTACAGGTATCAAATGCGATGAATCCCCACAAAGTCCCTTATTATGCTGATGCCTTTAGTCTCTTACTTAACAGATGAGGAAAGTGCAGCAGAGACAAGTTAACCAAGTTGCCTGCATTTGCAAATCCAGTCAGTGATGGTGGGAGAATGTGAACTGGCCAGCCTGGCATGAGAGCCCCTCCTGTATTTTATTTCATTTCCTTCATTTCACTTCATTTTTATGACTATTTGGTAAAAGTACAATAAAACACATCAAGAAAATTGACACAATGTTCTCTGGTCTCTACCCGTAACGAGCCTCCGTGTCACAGGAGCCTAAGGGTCTCCCATCTGGCAGATCGATCCCTTTATCTCTGAATGTGCCTTTCTCTGCATGTTTCACCTGCTTTCAGTACAGTTAATGCCAAGACGCCTTTAGATACTCATGGCACCTCTGGGGCTGGAAGAAGGAGGCGTGGAAGTTGGGGGTCATAGGGGAAAAGCCAGTGTTTGGCGGACAGGCTCCTGAACAGGCAGTTGAGCAGATGGCCCTTGAGGAAGGACAGCTGGCTCAGGGAGTGAGGACAGCTCAGGGTGCCACGGTGCTCTTTAGCAGGAGGGGCAGGACCCTGTCCCCACAGCTCCTCACCACTGGGTGCCAGGACTTCCAAGAAACTTCAGCTGAAATACCACCTTCTTCTACCCTGATAAAATGGGATTAGGTTTCTAAAGTCTGAGAAGGAAAACCTTTCCACTTCCCACTACAAGAGATTTCCTTCCTCTTTCATAATGTTAACCAAATGAAAAAATACATTCCGCTCAGATCTGGCTCGTGTGCTTCATGACGCAAGCAAAATCAGATTTGGTATGTTGATGAGTGAGGGGCTCCTGTGAGCTAGCCTGCCTTTGTTGTGCTTTGTATAAATAACTGAATTTTAGTAAAACAATTTACATGTTTCAACCAAATAGTGATGTGTTTGGTTGTAGCTATTGATTGGTTCAGCCTGCTCAGGATATCTTTGAAGATGATGTTTAAAATATATACCAGAAAAGGAGGATCTAATTACTGCATAACAAATAGCCCAAAAAGCAAAATTGGATATAATCTTCAAAAAAGCTGAAACAACCAGAATGCAAATAGCAGGTTTTGTTATTTAAGCCCTTCAGCAACCCAGCTACTGTTCACTACTCAGCACAGAAAGCATCTATTATTCCCCGAAATGGCAGCTGCTATTTTTTTGCCACAAACTCAAAGTCCTAATTTTTAGTTGGCTGATCATGCTTCAAAAATGACTTGCTAATTAAATTCCATGGCAAAGTGCTTTACTTACTGCTGTAAAAGATTCGTAGGATCTACAAGGGTAAGCAATAAAGGCATCGGGATTGAGAATGCTTTCAATATAGAAGCGGTGACTTCGGGCGTGGTTGCAATCAAAGAAGGAAACCACTGCTGTGAAAACAATTTCCAATTAACTGAGAGCGATGGACTGATGAACAGATAACTGATAATATAAACTATGTCTTAGAAAAAGCAACTTTAAATGACAGTTTCTTGTCTTGGGGTAGGAGGGTTGAGCCAGCCAGACCCCCCGCGTGGAGACATGCACTTACACATTTATTCACGTTACAAGTCATTTTCTTCACACCAAAGAATTCTCTGTGTGAGTCTAAAGGCACATTCATCAAGGTAAATATACAAAAGCAGAGGTCGATGACTTTGTGACATTAACATCCCGAACACTTTCCAGATCTCTGACATAAGCACTTAAAGCTTAAAGAATCCAACTTAAGTCAGTCAACTCTGTCTCCCCATTTCTGCAGAAAGAACTAAATGCAATTCCTATTCAGTCACAAAGCAGCCTGCCAGGTAAACCAGCTTCAGCTAAGCTTCAAGGTGACCGGTCAGCAGCATTATAAAGAATGCTAAAGACAAATTGGCTTTGTTATTGTCAGGCATGCACCTCAATGTCACCAACAGCGAGGATTATTGTACCATAAATAAGACAGATCTGCATTCACCTTGCATTGTGGAGTTACCAAAGCGTTCTAGCCATGGGTGTTTTCTTTATATGACAACATTTTCCTGTGAGGCATGGACTATTGTTCGAAGCTCAGCTGCCTTTAAGAAAGTAGATTTTGGTTTCACTATAGATAGCATCTCATTGCTTCACAATAGTGGCCTTCTGTGTCCAATGAATTACTCCAGGTCCTCTCCCTTTGCCATATCATATTACTCTTGCTCCCTTCAAGACATGCAGCCTATTTTTTCATTCCCCACCTATTCCAAAGCTAGTCATGTGACTTGCTTTGACCAACAGAACATGGAGGAATGGACATTATGCAAATTCCAGGGCCTTGGTGCAAAGAAACCATCCAGCATCCTCTCCTGTTACCTTGGAACACAGCCTCCATGTTTAGAAATCCAGGGACACTAGCTGGGGAGACTGGTCATGAAGGATAACAGACCATTCAAAGAGGAGTGCCAGGGGCCTCCCCAGTGGCGCAGCGGGTTGAGTGCAGCACTGTGAAGCTGTCCGCAGCCTCTGCAGCACGAGTTCGATTCCCGGACGGCCAGGGAGAAACCCACATGTTGCGGCAGACCTCTCCTGCCTCGCCCGCTGGTCCCCTCAGCAGTGCTTTCAGTCTGTCTGTCTGTTCTGCTCCCCACCCTGTCTCTGGTGAACCCTCTCACCCTCCTGCGCCTCTGGCCTGTACCCCAGCTATTGTATACATAAAAATTAAATCTTTAAAAAAAATTAAAAAACAAAAAACAAAGAGGAGAGCCAGTTCCAAGACCCCAGGCATGGAGCACCATGTTGGACCCTCCCACCCAGCTTAGTCCAGCCCAGCCCCTAGCTGGATGCAATCACATGAGTCATCCCCATGACACACTGCAAAGCAGATCTTGGCAGAATTCTATTTGAATCTTAAGCCTCTGAATCATGACAATAAAGCCACTGTTCTTATAAGTCACTATGGTTTTTTATGCAATAGATATGCAATGAGACAGCATAATTTCAAAAATGCAATATAATCAGCAGAGGCCAATCATGTTCATCCTTTTTTTAAACAAGAACGTCTCTTACATCAGATCTTTTTATACAGATTTCTATGCCCAGTTAATTGTGGTTTAGACATGTGTATACATTAGAATATTGGGGAACATGACTTTTAAAAGTAAATGGTTTCTTTGTAATACATAAATGTAAAATAGAATATCTTGCAGTCTTAAAGCTCATCTAAAGACAATATGAATGATGAATGTGCTTTTAATCTAATAAAATTGTAGGAAATCTTCTAATGTCTCAAAATGATAGCTTATGATAAGTGTATATTTTACTTGAATTAATTCTTTACAAAATTTCAAGTGCTCTGTGTATAACAAAATGCAGTTATATAAAGGAGTCTGATGGCCCATATTTTATCCAAATAGGAAGGATTTTACATCATTGCAAGGAAAATAAGAAGATAAACAAGTTTTATATAGGCCTTTTAAAAATGAATTTTTCTTATCTGTATGAGGTAGAATTGACTTTAATTCACAGTTTGATTATGTGACTTACCGGTAGATTAATCAGTATTTTTTATTTTAAGTAATCTTTGCATGTGCAAATAGATAATTCCAATCACTTTAACTCATTCAGAACACATACTAAAACTCTGAAATTTACCTCTAATGAAGAAGAAATTCAAGCTACCTCAATGTCATGATCTGTGTGTCTTTCTTCTAGAACAGCCAAGTGAGAGGTCAAATAATGACATCATCTAGATATTCTGACCACATGGGATCAAGTGGTGAGATGTTTAGAATCATTCAGGTATTTGTCATCATATAATCATATACTATGTCATTATGCATTATTCTATAGTATGTACAACCTATTTCATTATTTATGTGATGACAAAATATAGAGATAGGGAGGAATGGAATTTTCAAACAAAAATTTTTTGTGTTTATAACTAAGTGCCTTATAGATATACTATTATTGGCATTATAAAAAGGGTAAGTTCTATTTATTTAATATGCAATTAATTTGTGACCCAGAGTGATTCTGCTAAAAAGCCAAACCATGTGTATCTTCTGCTCAAACTCCCCCCATGGCTTCCCTCTCAGTTGAGTAAAAGCTAAAGTCATTTCTATAGTCCATCAGGCCTTGTATTTTCTCCTTTTCCCTTACTCCTTCTCTAATCATGCCCAGGTACTTTCTTCTCTTTCACTCATCTCAACCACAAAAGGTTCTCACTGGAACCTCACACAGGTTCCTGCCCCAGGCCCTTTGTACCTGCTAACCTAGCCCCTTTGCCTGGGAAGCCTGTGTATATAAAGGAGTCTGATGACCCACGTGGTTAACTCTTTCAGATCATCTACTCAGTAAGGACTCCCCGGCCACCCATCAAAAATGTTCTCTACTTCACTCCCACTGTCACCAGTATATCACATTCCCATTCTGTGCTTTATCTTGTCTTCTTGGCACTGATTTCTTTGTTGTTTTTCTAGAAAAGTAGATTAACTCCTTCAGGGAAGGATGTTTGTCTTCATTCCAACATCTGCTGTTCGAATCAAAGTGTGCCCATAGCAAGAACTCAGTCCAAAGTTGGATGGATGAACAGAACATGGAGAAACCGTCTCCTGGTTTCTATCAATGACTATCTAGACATTCTGCCGGGCACTGGAGATGCAAAGGTAACTAAGAGACAGTACCTGACCTTGCAGATCTCACAATGGGTGGGAGCTTCATACATGTGACTACTTGGGGCTAAAATGGATTTTGATATTATGTTTATATTATAAACAAAAACGTGGCTCCCATCCTGGGAGGGAGCTGAGTGAATGTACAGCAGCAGTCTTCATGTTTTAGAAGATACTTACCTTTCTTATAAACATTGAAATCAAATTTAAATAAAGGTGTAATTAAGTCTTCACATCCTGGCATGTGCTTCCCTCCATTTGGGTAAAAGTCCAGGTGTCCACAAGCATTAATAGTTCCGGCACCTGCAGTAGGTAAAAGCAGAATGAGTGCTTCTAAGATCCTCCTCTGTGCGCCTGGTAGTTTCTGTTTCTGTTGAAAACTGACCAAGCTCAAAGAAGAAGCGAACGCCGTTCGTATGGATGACATCCACAAAGCTGGCATCTGAGGGGTCCAGCCGGACTTCATTCGGCGTGTTGTGGAAATACGGCCCCGCCGGGTCCAGCCCTGGGAAAGAGACCGAGGTCTATTACATGTCACGTTGCACACAACAGTGTTGCTATTTTGGAAGGATGGATGGTGAAGGTGGGGTGTTCTCCTTTGACATGACTAATGTAGCACAGGTACATAGACAGGGTCTATAAATGCAGCATCTACGTAGATATATTACAATGTCAGGCTCCTATACACAAGTAAGCTTCTGTCTAGATGATGCCAACCAAGTCAGAACAGTTCAAGAGGCTGTTCTGGGGTCTTCATGTGACTCCCACATATATACAATGAAGGTGGTGGACTGCAGACAACCTCAAAAGCAACATTGACAGGCAAGTGTAAGTAAAAATGAAAGATAAGAACCCTTCAGTATGTAAAAATGAATCTCAAAGCAGGACAGTTAAAATGAGAGAATCCTAGCTCTCCACTCAGTCTCACCTTTCCTATGAACTAAAACCAGAAGTCCAGCCACCCTTGGCCTAACTCAGTCCCCCTATGTCCTCAGAACCCAGGGGTCCAGACTCAGCCCATTGTCTCTGTTCAGTTGTCTTGTGAAGTAAAGGTCAGATATCTCAAAGGCTCTAAAATGCCATCACAGTTCACACATTCGCTCATTTACACAAGAGACAATGGATTATCAAGCACTTACAACGCACCGGGAACTGGCTTTGACACTAGAGAAGGGACAAGGCCTGGTCTTGTCTGCAAGGGCTTCATGTTTCACGGGGAGGGCACCTCCATCCAGTGTGCTCAGTGCAGAGATAGGTGAGCACAGGTACTGTGTTCATACAGGAGGACAGGTAACCAGCCTTGGACAATGGGCCACGCCAGGGTAAAGGCAGGTGGGAGCCTCCCGGGGGTGGGAGAGGTGGGGGGTGGTGAAGAGAATACACGGACCCTCCAGGAGGAAGGAGTTTAGCACAAGTGGGGAACTGACTTCTCTGTTTTCAACTGGTTTTATTACACAGCCAACATCATTTTTGAGTCTCAGTTCCTTTGTTATTCAAGGAACATGATTGTTCAAAAACCACTTAGAAGGAATATTGATCATAACATCCAAATAATATAAATTCTTTGGACCTTCAGAGGACCTCTAAACATTTATTGTTTTCTATTTACTTGATAGGACAATTCAGTTGGCAGGAAAAATTGGAGTTTTATAGTATCTGCCTTTGAAATAAGAATTAAGGTAAACAAAACTTCAGTGAACTTACTGTAACCCAGGTGGGTTTTCATGTATGGTTGGAATGTGGGTCCCCAGGCTGTGTAGATGATTTAAGACTCTATACACAGCTGGGCCCACACATCCTTTCTCCTGGGCTTGAAAACCTAAAGGGGATTTTTGCCAACCAGTGGCACCAAAGTAAGAATGGTGATGTCGGCAGGTTGCGTTGCATTGAGCTGGAATCAGATTGGGATAAGAAAGAGGAAACTTTCCGCAGGAGAAAATTAGTATCTAAGAAGGCTGCGAAGCCAGCGTATTTGAAACTCAAGATGGAATTCTTAACATTTCTAGAAAAAAATCTTAATTT